TTGTACATGTAACTAATGATAAAGTATGAAATATCTAACATGGTAATCGTCTAAGATTAAAATTCATGAAGTCAATTCATCTTCAGTTACGCCTACGCAACCCTGCATCTTCTCCTTTTTTCGGATTTCAATTACAATTTTAGATCAATTTTAATCCTTAAGATACTCCACATTCATCATCTCCTTTCTTTGGATTTCTACGGAGTATAAATTTTAGATTGGCTTCATTTTAATTACGCATCATATGCCAAATTTTTCATTCTTCCGTAGAAAATCTTTAATTTCTTTTTAGAAGAGCACAACGTTGGTATGTTCATGTCTTTGATTGATATTTTTAGTCAATTCCTAAAAACTAAACTCTAAAGTTGCCACTTTTATAATAAAAATTTCATTCTAGAAATTCTTGCCTTAACTAAAATTAATGACATCTTTTCGTTTCATCATAATATATTAATTTCCCTTTTTAGAAAATGTCTTTATTAAAATTTAAATATTTGTCTTAATTACGTACTTTTTTAGTGTCTGCCTTAATTAAAATATTATAAATGTTCAATGCTCCTTAGGATACCATGTTTATTACTATTACTTGAATAATCCTCTATCCTTTATTATATATATTTATATATAAAATTTGAGAGTTGATCTCTCAGAATCACGACATTAGGCGAGTGTACTTGGCTAAATTTTAACAAATCGTCTGCCACTTTTTAATGACTTGAATGATGTAACATTTAATCAAAATATATAATATATGTCTTATACACGGAGTACCACTATAGTTTTTTTAAATATTTATCTTCTTATATTAAATTTGAGAGTGGATTTCTAGAATTGTAACATATGTCACGTTTATTGGACAATTTTTTTTACATGTTAGCAGCTATTCAAACCATCAAGCATTGACTAGAACTTTAATTTCCTTTTTATATTCTTATTGACTTCCTTAATTGAAAAAGATACATAAATGATAATCCAATATTATTTTCTTAAGAAAGCAAAATAATATCAAATTGATATTTAAATATTTTTTAAAAAATTAAAAATATATACTACATATATTAAAAGGAAAAAAATTATTAATGGATAAATCATTAAAAAAATTAATGTGTAATAAGTTAACTATTACTTGGTTTTCATAATCAAATATTTTATGGTATAATATTAACTGTTATAAATGTAACCACTATCAAATAATATTCTTAACTACTAATTGTTATATTCTTGGTTACAAATTAATTGCTATATTCTTGAATGGTACACACATTGTTTATGGAAAATAAATAACATTCGAAGATTATAATACGTAATTAACGAATAAAAGTATAAATATGTTTAAGATTTATGCGCTTATATATAATACTATGAATTTTTAAAAGAAAAAAAGTTATATATGGTTCTAAGTGCCTTTTTCAAATATGTCATGCTTTATTTATATAAAAAATGCAAAACACAAAATTATCATCTTTGAACTTAACATTAATTTTCACATACTTCTACACTCTTGAAAAAACCACTAGCAATTTGAGTTCGCAAAAAATAAATGAACTTTAAGTTCATGTTAAAAATAAAAAAATTATGTAGCTGAAAATTATTTAAAAGAGAATAATATATACAATATTCAAATACTATTTTATTAAAAAAAATAAATAATATGATTCTGATTTCTAAATATTTCTTAAAAAATAAAATGTATATTGCGTACACTAAAACACAAAAAATATATAAATTGATAAATAATGTATTTTTATTATATAACACATGTATTATCTATATTAGAATACAAAATTAAAATGCATTAACAATTTAACTACGGTAAAAATAAAAAGTGCCGATTAAATTGATGCAAAAAGAAATGAATTCTTACAAAAAAATCCATGAGACACACCCTGTTTTTATACTTGTGCAATACCCTTTGTTGTTTCCTTTTTGAGAGGATGGATGTCAAGAAAATATCTCTATAAGGGAAATCAATTTGGAGCGAAAAAATGTGTAGGACCTCAGGCGCTACCAACTCCTCTAAAACCAATTGGTGTTAGAAGATACGCATACCCTAGTCTTATAGTGCATTCACCACACAAGCGCCCACGACATTCGATTGTGACTAGGGCCACATAGCCTACGCCACGGGACAATTGCTGCACACATGGCCAACAATCTCCCCCTCAGCAATTGCTCCCGCTGGGAATCGAACTCGTGACCTTGGCTCCGATACCACTTGTAGGACCTCAGGCACTACCAACTCTTCTAAAACCAATTGGTGTTAGAAGAGGCGCATACCCTAGCCTTATAGTGCATTCACCACACAAGCTCCCACGACATTTGATTGTGACTTGGGCCATATAGCCTCCGCCACGGGACAATTGCTCCACACATGGCCAACAATAATTGTTGGCCTTGAATGCCGAGACTCACCACGTTTTGATCTGTCAAATAAGTCTTCAAAGTACTAATTGTTTTCAGGACAAAACGAGACACCCGAACCTCTCCTAACTTGGTTGATTTCACCAAGAAATGATTCATTCGAGCTTAGATATGAAAATGTAAGAGCTTGATAAAATGATGTTACACTTATGCCCTTGCACTTAAAAACATTTTCCAAAAGTTTCTAAACATTGCTTTGATTGGGTCATTTTTCAAAATCGGGAATTAATTCATTTTTGGGTTAGAACCAAACCAGACGGTACCCTATACCGTGCTAACGGTACCTAGCTACCGTTTGGCAACTAGGCACATCAGGTACCGCCCGGCCAAAGTTTGTTTAAGTGTCAAAGGATTCAACCGGTACCCCCTATTGTCACCTTCAGGAGCTACCTTCTGTAATAATGTAGCTCAGCCGAACTTGAACTATAGCGGTACCCCTTACCGGAAGCCTACCGACCGTAATCTTGGAAGAACCGCCCAAAACCCAATATGGCGGTACCCTATACCGTCTTAACGGTACCTGGGTACTGCCTGAGGCTTAGAAAATTCAAATTTAAACTTCCAAACGGGACATCTCATGGGACCCTATACCGTCAGTAACGGTACCCCCTACCGTGACAGTACCTGACTACCGGTACAGGTACCGGATCCGTTGGGTTACTGTTTCTGATTGATTTAATTAATCCCAACCACCTTAATTGTCTCCCAACGTCTCATTAATAGTTCAAACCTATTTTAAACTTCCTTAACATTATAAATACCCCTCCTAAACACACAACAACACTCCTTTACATACATTACATTCTATAAGCTCATTCTTGATCATTTGTGTGTTCTAAGCTTTAAAGTTCCTGATTTTTCTATTCTTTTGAATTTAAAGCTTTGATCTTTAAATTTTTAACACTCACACACTAAGGGCTTTTGTGTTTCATCTTCTTATCTTGCTCATAGGCAATTGTTGTTGTTTTTATATTTTGTTCTTCTACTACCCAATCATATTATCTATTATTTTGGTAGAGAAGCGAGAAACACTTTTCATTATTTTGCAAAAGGTGTGGATTGTAACGCCCCAAAACATACCCTAGAATTATCAATGAATAATTATTCAATTAATCAAATTTGTTTTGATTAAAATAAATTATTGTTGGGCTTTGGGCCGATACGAAATATGTTTTGATATCACAATCTAGATAAATCTCTTTGAGATAAATCTAATATATTGACTATTTCTGTGGTTTTGATTGGGAACCTGACACTAGTTAATTGATGTTAAGGGTATCTAGAAGAACTCTAAGATATACCCACTAGTTAATTGATGTTAAGGCTATCTAGAAGACCTCTAGAATAGATCTTGTATTAGAATAGACTTATGAAAACATGAATATTTGATGAATTAGAAAAAAATGTATAAATGGGATTCGTAGACCAATTTAGAGGATTACTCGTTTGGGAATGTCTGATCCAATGTTGATCAATCGCTATATTGTTGTTGCCTTAACCGACTACAGTTAAGTGTCAGAATCGTTTGCCTTAAACTAGTGATAGTTTAAGTGTCTGATTGCCTTATCTGACTACAGTTAAGTGTCCGAAATCAATTGCCTTAAACTAATGATAGTTTAAGTGTCTAATTAATAATTGCCTTAAAAGAATATGGTTATGGAAATTATGATTTGGCCTTAGACTAAGAATAGCTAAGAGCATTATTATGATCTGGTCTTAGACTAAGAATAGCTAAGAGCGTTGTTATGATCTGGCCTTAAATTAAGAATAATTTAAAGAGCACTATTGAAATAGTATCTGAATTGAATAAAATGTGTTGATATGAACTGAACAATACCAAAACTGTGAATGTCTGGAATAAACATTGTGTGCATGATATCAAATGATTTGATTATGAATTTAGATTCAGTTTATATGGATGTTCGACGCATTAGATATGCTTACTCAGCTTTACCACTGAGCGTGTAGTGTTTTATTTGCTACACGCAGGTAAACAGAAAGCCTAATGTGATCCTGGCGGCAGATGGGGCGAGATTGTGGGAATAGATGTGACAAGTTTGAAATGATTTATGATATGTCAAAATTAAATTCGCTTCCGCCATATTGTTGAATATTCCGTACTGTATATGTTATGAAAAATATTATTGTAATAAATAAAAGTGTTTGAAAAGTTTTAAATTTTCACGATTACCAAGTTAAATACTTTATTCCGAAAGGGGCTGCAGACCTGGACGGAATAGGGTGTTACAATTTGGTATCGGAGCAAATGGTTTTAAAACTGATCTTCGGATAAAAAATTTGATTTTAAAAAGAAATGTGTCAGTCACATCCACGACTCTCGCATCCCTCTACTCCAGGAAAGGTATGAAAAATTACTTGTAAAATATTGATTCTGTTAGAATTCTTATTTGAGAACAATTGTTAGTACCGAAATTGTATCGAGCGTAGACTCTAGTTGAACTTTCGTACTCCATGAAGAAACGAAAGGATAAATAATAATAAAAAATTTATAACCCTATGATATGTTATCAACGTACGCATCGCATTACAAAAAACTGTTAAAATGGCGACGGAATAATTCCGTTGCCAAAGCCTTATTTCCGTAGGTAATCGTCGTAACGACGAAAATAACGACGGAATCTATTCCGTCGTTAATTTTTCGTTAGTAGTAAATGTGACGACGGATTTTTGATTCCGTCGCTAGTCTACGATGGAAGTGGCGACGGAAATAAGCGACGGAACTCACGACGGAAAATATGCATTTTGACCATATAGCGACGGAAATGCGATTCCGTCGCCAATTCCGTCGCCAATTTGACAGGTTACAACCAGGAAGCTGCTGTTTTTCAATTTTGCACACATACATAGCAAAGCTCAGAAATCCTAGCATCAAACAACAACAATTACTGGAAATGAAGATTACCAAACAGCCAAGAATATTCAAGTCAATAATATTTATAAAAATTCAACATAACAATCAAATCTAACTCCACTTACATAACCATAAAACTTAAGTTTAATATATTGTTCTTCAATTCTAATAAAACACTCAACAAGCCCCTGCAAACCCTGCCCCTCCTCCATCTCCACCGCCATCTCCATTTCCACGTGGGAAAACTCCTCCATAAAGTCGGGTCATCTCTTCTCTAATCGACAACAATTCACGCGCTTGGGAAGTTCTAATTTCATCTAGCTCTTCTCTCAACCTCCGGATCTCATCATCTCAAGGGTCCCACATAGAGCTGGTGCTAGCACGTCTTGCCTCACTTGCATGTATTCGTGGTAGGCTCCGTGCGAGATCTCCAACACCATGAACACGATTCTTGGCATCATGTCCTCCGACTGTAGATAGAAAAATCTCGTCAGGTGTCACATTTAAGCCTTCTTCACGAACTGCCTCCTGCATGGCTACCTAGGTTTGATGCAATACACAAAACATACATGTATATATACTTTGTAACATAAAAAGCAAAATAAAATGAGCACTATGAATTCACATTCAATTGAATCCAACGAAAACTAATCATTTATATATATATTATATATTCATTGTCACTTACTGATACTTCTTCTGCCTTCTTATTGATGTAGGTCTTCCCATCATGTTTCTTCGTATGTGTGTGTGTGTACGAAGAGTACAAGTCAGAAGCCTTTCCACTTTTACCCAAAAAAATAAAATATATAAATAAGTGAAAATAGGTCTCTAAGAACATTTAAATGTAATTTTTGTTACTAACAATACTTACAAGGCGCGCTCGAGTCTTGCGAAAAGACAATGGACCACCGGTGTGCGTGGCGCTAGCATGGGCATTCTCGTCACCGCCACGCCGATTTTTCTTGTTTTGCTTGGAGGATGCCAAGAACTTTGGTGACTTCCAATACTGTTTAACAACATATAAATACAAGAATACAAATATATACACACAATTTGATGCTAAGTATAACATAACTCATCAATTCAAAAGATATTTAGAAATACCTCCTTCCACGATTACGGTACAAGTGGCTGCACCTTCTCTGTTCCTTTCTTCTCATTCCTAATAGATGAGAGCCAGTCGGTGTGTCGTCTTCTAGCCTTCGATCGCGAAACACGGAACATAACACTATCATCAATGCGAGGGTCCCAAATGGCATGTTTCTAAATTTAAAAAAAGAAGTTAGACCGGACATGTTAGAAAATATCTTAAATAAAATACAAAATATAGAAAGCATACATTTGATATTCGTATCTAACCAAATTTTACCTGAAACTCTCTCCAGTAAAAGTCCACAGTCGTGTCGCATAAGCTCTTCCAACTACCCCCTGTTGGATCGAGCCTCTACTGGAATGTGGAACAAATGATCCGAGCTCCCTCTTTCGTGAAGACGACACTACATGATATTATAATTACAACATTATAATATATATTATAATTGTATATACATGCAAATAATAAGATATATATGTAGAATCACCTGCCAGAGCGATCAAAGTATGCTACGCTCGATCCAAGGTCCATAGCATCGTCATTCTCGTGCTCTATCGACTCGTCGAAGTCCATGCTCTCATCATCGTGCATCCTGGACTCATCAGTGGAACGTGTAAACCCTCCGGAAGAGGTGCTAGTGACATTCGTGCCGTGAGGCCCAGTAGGCACTCTGACAGTGGCAGTACCTGATGCCCTCGCTGATGCCCTTGCTGATGCGCTTCCCGAGGCGCTGGCTGATGCGCTGCCCGATGCACTCACAGATGCGCTAGCCGATGTGCCGCTTGATCTACCACCACCAAGGATGGCATGTCGCAACCTAGAAAGTTCTTTCCACTTCCCAGTATTGGACTTTGTTTGCTCTGCGTGACCCTTACCCTTATCTCCACTAGCCATCTGCAAAGAAGAGTAATTAAGGATTAGTAAAATAGTTAATAATTTGAATACAACAATATATTTGTTCAACCACCTTTTGTATTAAAATCTATTTTATGATAATTCATCATCGGACATGAACACATTTTCGCTAGAGCTCTCATCAGTAGTAATTAATATCTCAACATCATCACTTTCTTCCTCCTCACTATCATCGAGATCAATTAATTTTGGACATTCTTCAAGTAGTGGAGCTTTCTCGTGCGGTTCAACTTCAACAATTTCGACTGCCACTCTTGCATCTTCTTGGTACGCAAAATCGTCAATACTCTTGAGCTTTTGTGTATCAGATGTGGTTTCAACCCAGCCACGTGGTCTTACATCACAAACAGCTAACCATTCTCCTTTTGCCCTACTAGCTACTCCAGGATACTCTACGTAGGCCACCTGCTTAGCTTGTGTTGCAAGGATGAATGGTTCATATTTGCGGAATATCCCACTTTTTAAAACCTCAACCAAGTCATATTTGTCGTGCACTCTAGTTCAAACTCTGGGTCGTGGATCATACCACTTGCATTTGAATACAACACAATGCTTTATTGGTAAAGCAGGATACTCAACCTCGATAATTTCTTCTACACGACCATAGTAAGAACAATGCTCTCCAACAATGGACACACCGCTATTAAACGTGGCACGTTTGGCACCGTGAGTCTCAGTGTGAAAGAGATAACCATTGACATAACAAATTGGGTATGTGCTAACAACTGTAACGCCCTCAAACCGGCCTAGTTTTAAATAAATAAATATTATTTATTTATTGAGACTCATTGTTTTAAATAATAAATATTGAGATTTTGATCCCATTAGATGGACATCAGAAGTTAATGTGTTTTAAAATATAAAAACATGTTTTAATAACGGACCTTTCAACATTAATTAATTAAATTAATTAATGATTGGGTTGGACCTGGAAGTTTGAAAATAAAGTTCTTAGAAAAAATTATTTGAACATGTCATTAAATTCGTTTTGACTGTCTGATTCCGGAAATACAAACGGATCTCAATTCGGATCCATTTGGGGGAAAAACCGCATACCGTTCAACTCAGGTTTTACACAACGGAGTAAAAGTTTAGGGAGATAACTCCCCATCCAATCCTCTCCCACGCCACACTCTTCATCTCCCATAACCCCCCATTCATATCCCATCATAATTTCTTCATAAACTCCCATAACTCCTCATGGTTATAAAACTCCTCTTCCCCTTCATTTCTCTCATCATGTGTAACCTCCCCAAACCATAACACCCATCTCTTCCTCACCCCTTGCATGTTCGGCCAGGCCTTAGCAGCTCCAGAAGGTTTTCCGGCAAGTAGACAGGGAGGTAGAAGAGGAGAAGCTCACACGAGAAGTCGTACGTTGTTCGTCGTTCAACCGTTCATTCATTTGTTCTTTCTTCGTCATCCATTCGTAGTTTCAACACATCATTTAGAGGTGAGTAGTTGTCCCCTCTAATTCTAGAACATCAAGTTATAATCTATGTTGTTATATTCATAGGAATATCGTACGCAACCTACGTAGAATCTATGCATGTTCGTAGGTTAGCCATTAAAACGTTCACTACGTAAAAATCGTATATATTGGCCTAGGAATCACTAGGAATATTTTCATAAATGGTTACATTATTGTTCTAAAAAGAATCAAGGCGTTAAGTTCACAAAACGGATCAAAACGAAGCCAAAGTCAGTGGACTGTCTACGGGACGGTCGACCGCCGCTAAGGACGGTGGACCGTTTCCCTTGACCGTCTGTCGGCCACCACCATAACGGTCGACCACCGGCCGCGACGGAAGACCGGGGTGGACTGTCGGCATTCCAGAACTCCATAACGTAACTCACGGTCGACCGCCGGTGGGGTATGGTCAACCGTTTCCGGGGCAGGTTTTCGGACAGTTTGTAGAACGAGCCCCGTGGACCATATTGACTCAAAATCTGATTGTATGTTTGTATGAAATGTTAATCTTCATTATTATGTTATTTAATTGATATATTCTTGGCGTTGACCAAAGGTTAATATATCAAGCATTCATCATGCTGTTTCTAGACGTATGTCCTAGGTTCATCATCATGTGCATAACGCTGTAGGGAGGTCAGGCTTTCGTGCGCCTACTACAGTGGGCCCGTCCAGGAACCTTGGGGATCCAACGGGTTTTCATCAGGTGGGCTTTGTGTACGTACATGGTAGTCAGGTTACGGCTACCACCCGGTTTTGCTAGTCCACTTGTTCCCGGCTCATTTACCGTTTCGGTATGACAACCGGAGTGCAGGGGTGATCCTGTCAAGTGAGACTAAGACAGGGGTGTCCCTGATAGTTTAGGTCATGCATCAAGTCATATCGTCATCATGTGGGTTCCATGTCATGTCAACATTCAACGTGGTCGTCATCATCATGTATGTTCCACATCACATTAACATTCAATGTGGTAGCACATCATTTTGTTATGTGTAATAATATCCCATCAAGTGCAAACCAATCAGTTAGTAAACATGTGATTTTCCGTACGTTAAAGTACAGGTATTACTATGTGTATAATCATATGGGTTATCACTTCATCTTCTTTTGTTAGATTCACTCCTCAGCTTTTGCTGAGCGTGTAGTTGTTTTTGCTACACGCAGGTAGACATGACGGTACAGGTGCTAACCCTGGAGGACAGTGATGATGGGAAGATGGGGGCGCACGGACGAGTTTAATAATTACAATCATTTAAATTAAATAATCATTTGGGCATGAACCCATCATATGTCGTTTTACCTATTTTGGACTTATTTATTTACTTCCGCTTTTACTCTGCATTTATATCACACACGTTTTGGGGTTAACTCCCTAGCATTTATTTCACCAATTGAACCCAACTGTTTTCATAATAAATAGACATTAATGTTCTTTACTCTACGGACGGTTCTCGGACCGCCCATGTAACCCCACCGGTCCGTCAAGTCGCAGGTGAACCGGGTCCGCGGAAGGCGGGTGTTACAGTTTAGTATCAGAGAAGTTCGATTTTGTGGAAAAAAATAAAGAAAAACATATTTTGTAATCTTGGTCAAAGGGTTTTTCCAGAAAGTCCACAGCCGCATCTCCCATCACATCACTCCTAGGGAAAGGTACACCGTTATTTTATTCACACGTATGTCATATTGTAATTAGTTTTGATTTAAGCGCTTCTTATAGAGAATGAGCCAAGCAGTAGGCAATGACGGATAAGTAGATCCACATAGGAGTGCCTGAGCACGTGAGCGCACAATGAGGCGTCAAACTAATTACGTTATACGCTCATTTGTTCCCATTTTGATACTATGCGATTGTTAGATGAGTACCATCAGTACCGGAAGCGTGTCAAGCATTGACTCCAGTCGAACCTTCGTGCTTGGTAAGAGACGAAAGAACAGGAGGCAAAGTTACGATTCGAAAGAGCGCTACCAACGTGCACATCACAAGGCACTTGTCCCAACCAAACATGTTCCTTGGATGAAATCCGTCAATTGGTATTTAATTTATTATGCCCTCATTTGCTTCACAAGACAAAGTTTTGGGTAACGCACTATCTCCCTAAACACGTGAGGTGTGACTTGAAGAGAATTTCGGGGACGAAATTCCTTTAAGGGGGGATAATTGTAACGCCCTCAAACCGGCCTAGTTTTAAATAAATAAATATTATTTATTTATTGAGACTCATTGTTTTAAATAATAAATATTGAGATTTTGATCCCATTAGATAGACTTCAAAAGTTAATGTGTTTTAAAATATAAAAACATGTTTTAATAACAGACCTTTCAACATTAATTAATTAAATTAATTAATGATTGGGTTGGAACCGGAAGTTTGAAAATAAAGTTCTTAGAAAAAATTATTTGAACATGTCATTAAATTCGTTTTGACTGTCTGATTCCGGAAACACAAACGGATCTCAATTCGGACCCATTTGGGGGGAAAACCGCATACCGTTCAGCTCAGGTTTTACACAACGGAGTAAAATTTTAGGGAGATAACTCCCCATCCAATCCTCTCCCACGCCACACTCTTCATCTCCCATAACCCCCCATTCATATCCCATCATAATTTCTTCATAAACTCCCATAACTCCTCATGGTTATAAAACTCCTCTTCCCCTTCATTTCTCTCATCATGTGTAACCTCCCCAAACCATAACACCCATCTCTTCCTCTCCCCTTGTATGTTCGGCCAGGCCTTAGCAACTCCAGAAGGTTTTATGGCAAGTAGACAGGGAGGTAGAAGAGGAGAAGCTCACACGAGAAGTCGTACGTTGTTCGTCGTTCAACCGTTCATTCATTTGTTCGTTCATCGTCATCCATTCATAGTTTAACACATCATTTAGAGGTGAGTAGTTGTCACCTATAATTCTAGAACATCAAGTTATAATCTATGTTGTTATATTCATAGGAATATCGTACGCAACCTACGTAGAATCTATGCATGTTCGTAGGTTAGCCATCAAAACGTTCACTACGTAAATATCGTATATATTGGCCTAGGAATCACTAGGAATATTTTCATAAATGGTTACATTATTGTTCTAAAAAGAATCAAGGCGTTATGTTCACAAAACGGATCAAAACGAAGCCAAAGTCAGTGGACTGTCTACGGGGCGGTCGACCGCCGCTAAGGACGGTGGACCGTTTCCCTTGACCGTCCGTTGGCCACCACCGTAACGGTCGACCTCCGGCCGCAACGGAAGACCGGGGTGGACTGTCAGCATTCCAGAACTCCATAACCTAGCTCACGGTCGACCGCCGGTGGGGTACGGTCGACCGTTTCCCAGGCAGTTTTTCGGACAGTTTGTAGAACGAGCCCCGTTGACCAAATTGACTCAGAATCTGATTGTATGTTTGTATGAAATGTTAATCTTCATTATTATGTTATTTAATTGATATATTCTTAGCGTTTACCAAAGGTAAATATATAAAGCATTCATCATGCTTATTCTAGACGCATGTCCTAGGTTCATCATCATGTGCATACCGCTGTAGGGAGGTCAGGCTTTCGTGCGCCTACTACAGTGGGCCCGTCCAGGAACCTTTGGGATCCAACGGGCTTTCATCAGGTGGGCTTTGTGTACGTACATGGTAGTCAGGTTACGGCTACCACCCGGTTTTGCTAGTCCACTTGTTCCTGGCTCATTTACCGTTTCGGTATGACAACCGGAGTGCAGGGGTGATCCTGTCAAGTGAGACTAAGCCAGGGGTGTCCCTGATAGTTTAGGTCATGCATCAAGTCATATCGTCATCATGTGGGTTCCATGTCATGTCAACATTCAATGTGGTCGTCATCATCATGTATGTTCCACGTCACATCAACATTCAATGTGGCAGCACATCATTTTGTTATGTGTAATAATATCCCATCAAGTGCAAACGAATCAGTTAGTAAACATGTGATTTTCCATACGTTAAAGAGTATGTATTACTATGTGTATAATCATATGGGTTATCACTTCATGTTCTTTTGTCAGATTCACTCCTCAGGTTTTGCTAAGCATGTAGTTGTTTTTGCTACACGCAGGTAGACATGACGGTACAGGTGATAACCCTGGAGGACAGTGATGATGGGAAGATGGGCGGCACACGGACGAGTTTAATAATTACAATCATTTAAATTAAATAATCATTTGGGCATGAACCCATCATATGTCGTTTTACCTATTTTGGACTTATTTATTTACTTCCGCTTTTACTCTGCATTTATATCACACACGTTTTGGGGTTAACTCCCTAGCATTTATTTCACCAATTAAACCCAACTGTTTTCATAATAAATAGACATTAATGTTCTTTACTCTACGGACGGTTCTCGGACCGCCCATGTAACCCCACCGGTCCGTCAGGTCGCAGGTGAACCGGGTCCACGGAAGGCGGGTGTTACAATGGGGAGAGGTCCCCTTGATACATCACGAATAACTTTCGGTGTATCAACAATTTCCCAAGCCTGAAAGTAGTACAAATGATGAATAACTTGAGGTGTCTCATTATTATAAGTAAAGGACTGAATTGAGTTGTTAACTGAATTAAGGGTATGATATATATACATGTTTTTCAAACCATGATGCAAAACTTTCTTCCATTTGTAGATGTAAAGCCTCATTTGTAATGTCAGGATTTGAGTCACGTAATGAATCGACATATTTCCTGCAATGAACAACATGATATGCCTTAAGTGTACACTCGCGGAATGGTTTACTAGGAATAGATAAAATTAGAGACATACTCAATGAATGGTTCAATCTCGACACTATTTAGCATAAGGTAATGATGCAGCGCCTTTAACTCATCATCAGAAAGTCTTCGCTTTTTCGTCTTACCGCTTAGGCATCCTGCGCTTTGGAAAATGCTTAGGTTACTTTCGATGGCTGCAGGAACATCTCCTTCATCATTACGCGGTACAATGTGTAGTCGAGTGCAAACATGATCTTCAAAGTAATGCGAACAAAAATGAGATGCTTCTCTCACAATATATGCATTAGCGATAGATCCTTCTACCCTTGCTTTGTTTTTTACCATTCGCTTCAAACGATTTAGGTATCTGCATAACACAAGCGAATACGTGGATTAATTATGCATTTAACATATATTATTTGACACATAATTTTTTGTTCAGTTCGTACCTCTCAAAAGGATACATCTATCGAAATTGAACTGGACCAGAAACTCTAGCCTCCCAAGGTAGGTGAACCGGCAAGTGTTTCATGCTGTCAAAAAATGCAGGGCGAAATATTGTCTCTAGCTTACATAGTATGACAACTATGTTTTTCTCTAGCATCTGCATGTCATCGACCGAAATACTTTTAGCAGTAAGAGAACGAAAGAAGTTGCTGAGCTCAGTTAAAACCTCCCATACACCCTTGGGCAATAAATTTCGGAATCCTATGGGAATTAGGCGTTGCATGAAAACATGGCAATCATGACTTTTCATCCAAAACATTCTTAGTTTTGTTGGATCGACACATCGTCCCAAATTTGAGACATAACCATCAGGAAATCACAACCCCTTTACCCAATCTAAAAAAGCCTTTCGTGAAGCTTTGTCAAGAGTGTATGCTGCCTGAGGATATTTTCTTGATGCACAATCTCTTTCCAACTCTTTCCTGTTGCAAAATAACTTCGTATCCTCCCTAGCTTTGGAATTGTCTTTTGTTTTACCTTGGACATCCATCACAGTATTAAAAATATTTTCGAACACATTTTTTTCTATGTGCATAACATCAAGATTATGTCGTACAAGATTTGTCTTCCAGTACGGAAGATCGCAAAATATGCTCTTCTTTCTCCAACCACAAAGATGGTGTTTAAAAACATCTTTGTTTGTCTCTTCTGCCCCAGAATCCACAATCCTTCTCAATCCGAGCCTCTCAATCTCCTCTAATATTTGTGCATCAGTTTTTAAAGTAGGAGGAGAACGAGTCTCAATCTTATTCTTCATAAATTTTTTCTTATCTCTCCTATAAGGATGGTCATCTGGCAAAAATCTACGGTGTGTATCAAACCAAGATTGTTTGCCACCATTTGGAAGTCGAAATGATTGTAGTTCGTCCATACACACCAGACATGTTGTTTTCCCAGCAGTGCTCCAACCAGACATCATTCCCAATGCCGAAAAGTCTCCAATAGTCCATAATAGTGCAGCACGCATCGTAAAGTTTTGACTCAACGACACATCAAATGTTTCAATGCCTTCGGATCACAACATCTGCAATTCTGCAATTAATGGCTGTAAGTAAACATCAATCTTTTGTTTGGGATTAGACTTACCCGGAACTATTGCACACAAAAATATGTGTTCCTCTTTCATGCACATATTAGGCGGGAGATTGTAAGGAGTGACCATTATTGGCCAACAGGAGTATTGAGAACCCGATTGCCCGAAAGGTTGAAAACCATCTGTGCAGAGACCCAACCTTACATTTCGAACTTCAGAAGCAAATGTTGGATTAGAAAGGTTGAATTGCTTCCAGGCCTCAGAATCGCAAGGATGACACATATCTCCATCACTATCGTGACTGTGCTATGCATGCCAACGCATGGACTTCGCTGTTCTCTTTGACATGTACAATCTCTTTAATCTCGGCGTTAGGGGAAAATAGAACATGTATCTATTTGGTATCTTTTTTATAGAGTCTTTGTAACGAGGCTTTTCACAAATTTTACATGCAGTTAGCTCAGCATCTGGGCCCCAAAAAAGAATGCAACCTTGGACACAACAGTGAATTCTCCACTGGTAGTCCTAAACCTTCAATGAGTTTTTTTTCTCATAAAAATCAGAAACCATTGAATTGTCCTCCGGAAGTCCATCTTTGAACAGTTGGCAAATAGTGTCGTAACACCTCTCAGACAAATTGTGCTCTGCCTTAATATTGAGTAATCTTGCAACCATCGAGAGTTGGGACATTTTAGTGCAACCTTTCCATAAGTCGGTATTAGCGGCTTTTAGCATGTCAAAAAAATTTTTGTCACTAGCATTTGGTTCCTCCTCAACTGGAACGTTAGGATTAAAGGAAGGCCCCGCAACATCAATCACCATATTCATGTATTCTGTCCTTTCGGTTTCAACAAAGGTACGAGCAGATTTACGGCGCCTATGATGGCTCGTATAGTCACCATGTTCCTCCCCGTGGCAAACCCAATCAAGATATTTAGGAGTGAAACCTTGTCTCAGTACATGAAGCTTAATGTCCTCGATATCTTTAAAATATTTATTCTTACAAATCTTACAAGGACAACGCATCTGCCCGTTGAATCTGTCTACTTTTGGATTTGACTCACAAAACTCAATGAATTGTCTAACTTTGTCAACCCAGTCTATATTTATAAAACCTGAGCTATCAAGTCTTTTATACATCCAATCTCGATTTTCGTGAAAGTCACTCATTCTGAGAAATTCAAACAAATAATTAAAATTAACATACTATTAAGTTATAGAATTCATTACAAACAAAATTAAAAATATAATATAAAAAACTTAATATAAATGGATCAGAACAACTACAATATTCAACAACGTAACATACACAATATATACACAATCAATCCTCACGTAACATTAACAATATGTAAAATATAACAATTAATAAGCATAACTTCATTCCTCCTATAAAACATACAATATATAAAATAACATATTAAACAATTAATAAACACAATATTGATTTACTAAAAGTTTAAGGAATATAATTAAATTTGTTAAAACAAATGACTAAATTTTGAATAACAAACCCTAACCTAAAATAATTATAAAATTAAAACTAAATTTGTAATTATAAACAAAATATGATATTTTAAAAACCCTAATGTAAACAATACAATTATAATAAAAAAATTAATTCACAAATAGAATTTGAATAAGAGATGAAAAATTAAAAACAAAAACCTGGGATGAAGACCCGACGATGACCGGACGGCAAGGAGGACCAGCGGTTGATGGTGGCGGGCAGAGACGACTAGCGGACGGCGCGGCGGAGGAGATTCGACGACGATTTGGACAGCAGACCTCAGACTCCACTCGGCGGCAGGCCCTTTTCTTTATGTCTGCAAATCGGTGAAACTGACTAAGGAAGAGGGTATAGATCTGTTTTGAAGAGACGGAAAGTAGCGACGGATATATTCCGTCGCCAAGCCAAAACGCAGTGTTTCAATAAAATTTCGTCATCGACAGAAATATTCCGTTGCTAAAACTAACGACGGAAAATTCCGTCGGTAATTCTGTCGTCAAAAATGCCGCACACAACCTCCCGCCAATACAGAGCGACGGACCTTTTTTTCCGTCGTTAGTTTTGGTTGGAGTACTCTTCCGTCGCTAAATCCGTCACTGTTAGTGTCGAACTAAATTCCGTCGCTGCATTCCGTCGTTGTTTTTGCGTTTTCTTGTAGTGTTCGAAGCTGATCTGTCTCGCAAAGTCGCATGGAAGTGAGACAACTATGAAGAAACGATTAATGTTGAATAACCTCTGTAAAGCCGATGTCGAATATCCTCATGTGGACTCAAGACGATCTAGCCGGTGATTCAAACACTGACGTTTAGAATGAGTCAAACTCTGTTATCTAGATTATTCCATTCTGATTTCAAACTCATTACGAAGCAAATATGTGATTATATCATACGAATCGAAATCGTTCGTTCAACTACAATTCCTTGCAAAACTTTATCATACAATGAAATTGACATTATCCTTATTTCATATCTATGACTTATTTGATCAGCTTAGAGAATCCATTGTACTCTCTAAGATTGACTTACGGTCAAAGATACTATCACATCCCTGTTTAGACAGAGAAACTGATGATCAAGAATTCCTACCCTTTACTAAGCATTGACAATTTGTTTGGTCAAATTCAAAGGAACCTACTTGCAAGAAGTTATGGATAGTTCAATCTTGTTGAATGAAGTGACACATTGTTATGACACGATTAGTTACTTAAACATCAATGTAGTCTGATAGAATAAATACCCGTTGTCAACTCGTCAAGAATCCTAACGAAGGAATTTCTGTTATTGTAGAATGAGTCATGAAACCGCTCACGATCAAAGTAGCCAAGTGCCAAGCGATGGGCACGAAAATGTTCATACTGAAGTATCTAGTTTCAAACCTCATATTCAAAGTGAACAAGTGAACTCACTACATGTTCCCCAAAATGATCAAAATATTGGAATTCCACCTGACGCTATGCTACCTACCTTAATAGTAAACGTCTTGCAACAAATGACCAATGCCCCTGTGTTTCAAACCCCTCCACCACCACCTCGTTTGATCACTTTCAAAACCTTGAAAGACAATGGTGCTGAGGAGTTTCTGGGAGATCCAATTGTCGAACCCCAAATTGCTCTTGAATGGATCGAGCAGACCGCTCGTGTACTACAAAATCTGAACATACCTCTTGTTGACCATCCAAAATTTGCATCTCAATTGCTCCGCAAGGAAGCCTACGAATGGTGGAAACGCACTAAAGAAAATCCAAACACACCCAAACCTTGGACTTGGGAATTCTTTGATTGGGCGTTCAAGAAGGAATATATCCCAGCTCGATTCCGTGAAGAGAAGCGTGCTGAATTTATTGAATTAAAGCAAGGAGATATGACACTCCCTGAATACCGACAAAGATTTGTCCATCTCGCTCAATTTGCACCCACACTTGTGAGTACAGCGGCTGACCGCATTGAGGAGTTTCGAAAAAGACTTCGACCTAATCTCAGGCCGCACGTATCTACTATTCAAACTCTAGATTTCATTGAAGCATATGACCTAATCTCCAAATCCGAAAAAGATCTAAGTGATTACTATGAATGTCTAAAGACTGAGAGTGTCAATCCAAATGAACGACCAATTTCAAGTGGGAAGAGACCCCTACAAGAAATTGATAGTGCCATACACTCGAAAAAGGGAAAATCAATGACAGTTCAATCGACGTCATCCATAAACAAAATGAGAGTATGGAAACATCCAAAGTGTGATATTTGTAAAAGACACCATCCTGGAGATTGCTGGCTTGCACAAGAATTATGTCTAATTTGTGGTGAACCTGGACATTTCCGACGAGAATGCCCCTCTAAACCTGAATCATATTCAGTTACTTCTGTCCAAGATCAACCTGTTCGTTCAGGAACAAGTCAACGTTGTAAAACACAAAACAATTCAAAGAATCCAACCCAAGGATGATACTCTATGAAGATCCTAAAGTTTTACAAGGGCTCGATGATATGTTGAATAATGTAGAAACCTTATGTAAACAAGAAATTATCTTTCGATTTGTATCTCAAGAATATTCGTATTTTCTTGAACCTACGTATGTTGAAACCATTGTATAATGAAATCTTTCATTTGACCCATCTTGAGAAAATGTTTGATATTTACATGATGCATTCTGATGTTGAAATTAGATATTTTCTGACTTGCACTGGCCATGCAGCTTAGAATAATGTTTATGGTTAACTCATAATGTTCATGGACAATATTATTTCCAACATAAATTCAATTGAAATTACATAAAGTAATATTACAAATGCAACTCTAAGTCCAATGCCCCAGGATTTACAAACTCGTCATAACTAGCCCGAGGACCCAGAAAAGCTTTAGCAAACGCTAGCTTGTCTAAAAGCTCATCAATAAAGAAAGAAGAGATGAAAAGTTTTCTCTCACTGGAAGCCATGTAGTTCTGCCTCACCGCGTCATCTAGAAATTTGATTAGGTTATTAAAATAACCGTCAATGTTCAAGAGACAAATGGGTTTACTGTGTAACCCTTCAGATGCCCATGAGAAGTATGATGAAAGCTTCTACAACATGATTCATTTCGAAGTACATATAGTAATTGCTGGAAACAGTGTACTCTGCACCATATGTAGGTCCGTAGACCTGTCGTGCTGCTATGTACCCTGGTATGAAGCCTCTAACTATACCACCATTGGTATAGACTGTTGAAGCAACAACTCCTTGAAGGCCAACGTTGCCTCCTCCATAGGTAAGCCTAATTTTTTTGCCTTACCAATTCCCTTCCTAAATCCACCGCTGTGGCCATGAACTTTGGATTTCTACCAAGAGCATGACTACCAAGTAGACCAACGAATTTTATGGTGTTAGGAAAAGTTCGAGAAGTTCCTTCCATAATATAAGAATGTGAGGTACTCTTGCCACAATCGTGATATATATATGCTCTGAAAACCTGACCTTTGAAAAGGGGTAGTTATCCTCAGTCGAAATTTGTACAGTAAAGATGGATTCGAATTTACTACTGACAATAACGTACTCGCTAATACTATAGTGTGCTGACGATATCAAGACTCATGAACAGTTAGATTCGTTGTCCTGAAATACGTTCAAATCCAAGATGAAAAGTCAAAATGGCTATTGCCCTAAAGACAATGACCCCTTGACCCCTTGAGTAACTTGAGAGATTACGTTACAACGTATGAATTAAAAGAATCTCCAAATATCCATATATGACTATCGTGAACCTTCTACAATGGGGATTGAAGAACTTTTCAATCGAGAAAAGAATTCTATTAACCAATGACGTGCAAACGAGACTCGCCACTGAACGAAGCTATGTGCAAATATGTCAAGTATACAATACTACACACTTTGAAGGAAACTTTTGAAAGGATGAGTGAATGCCTTGCTTAATCAAAGTTTGTTAATATCTCGAATATTGAACGAGTTTGGTAACATCAACGATTTGAGAATACGTATCTATAAGATAAAACGTAACCATGTGAACATGATGTTGTCCTGATTAATTATGAATACAACAAATGTTGATTGTGGACCTTAGAAGAATTTCGAGGACAAAATTCCTTTAAGGAGGGGAGAAATGTAATGCCCCAAAACATACCCTAGAATTATCAATGAATAATTATTCAATTAATCAAATTTGTTTTGATTAAAATAAATTATTGTTGGGCTGTGGGCCGATAGGAAATATGTTTTGATATCACAATCTGGATAAATCTCTTTGAGATAAATCTAATATATTGACTATTTGAGTGGTCTTGATTGGGAACCTGAGTACAGACCCAAATCAAGAGTAAATAAAGAATTTGTTTAGAATGTAAATATTGAAATGATTTGTTAAAATAAATCATGAGAATAATTGATATGAATTAAATGAGAGAACCTTTTATGAGAAAGGTCAATTAAACCAATTTTGACTTTGTCAAAGTCAAACACCCAAAAATATGTTGTCGATCGGAAAAAATATTACAAATAAATATAAAAATTATATAGTTGGATAGAGTTTAACTGTCCGATCGCAATGGTACGAACAAAATTTAATTCGGAGAAAATTGGACCAAAAAGTGTACCGACTGGGACTGAATTTAGTCCCAATCAGGGACTCACGTTTGGAATCGGAGAAATATCGCAGCCCGCTCCACTAGCCGCCCGAACAGGAAACCAGACATCACCTTTGGCAGCATCCTTCACCATTTTCCTATATAAGTACCATATGGTTGTACACATATTAATATCTGTACTTAACGTACGAAAAACCACATGTTTACTATCTGCTCAATTTGCACTTGAAGGGGTACTACTACTCATAACAAAATGATATGTAACCACAAAATGATATGACTTGATGCATGACTTAAATTATCAGGGATACCCCTGGCTTAGTCTCACTTGACAGGATCACCCCTGCACTCCGGTTATCACACCACAATGGTAATGAGCCGGGCTCGACGAAACGTCGCAAGTGGACTAGCAAAACCAGGTGGTAGCCGTAACCTGACTACCATGTACGTACACAAAGCCCACCTCGTGAAAACCTGTTGGATCTCAAAGGTTCCTGGACGGGCCCACTGTAGTAGGCGCACGAAAGCCTGACCTCCGTACAGCGGTATGCACATGATAAAAAACCTAGGACATGCGTCTAGGATGAACATGATGGATGCTTGATATATTTACCTTTGGTCAACGCCAAGAATATATCAATTAAATAACATACATAAGGAAGATTAACATTTCATGCAAACATACAATCAGATTCTGAGTCAATATGGTCAACGGGGCTCGTTCTACAACTGCCCGGAATTCTGCCCGCGGAACGGTCGACCGTACTCTACCAGCGGTCGACCGTGGGCTACGGTCTTGAGTTTGGGTCACAGACGGTCCACCATGATCGTCCGTCGCGGCCGTCGATCGACTGTCACGGTGGTGACTATCGGGATGGCTGAGGGTACGGTCTACTGTCTGAAGCGACGGTCGACCGTCCCGGTGACAGTCCTCTGTCCTTGGCTACGTTTTGATCCGTTTTGAAAGTTCAATGCCTTAATTATTTTCAAGACAATAATACTAACATTGGTGAATATATTCCTAGTAATTCCTAGGCCAAAATATATAAGTTTTACGTAGTGAACGTTTTGATGGCTAACCTACGAACATGCATAGATTCTACGTAGGTTGCATACGATATTCCTATGAATATAACGACATAGATTATAACTAAATGTTCTAGAATTAGAGGGGACAACTACTCACCTCTAAACGTAGGGGTTGGCGGAACGATGGGACGAGGAACGATGACTACGCTTCACATGGACAGCCTAGCTCTTCTTCTCCTCCTATTTCCTCAACCGTGCACCCACCGGAGCTTCGCCGGAGACCTCCCCTGGCTGCTGCCTTGGCCGAACAAGAGAGAGAGAGATGAAGAGTGAATGTGTGTGTTGAATGTGGGAGGTTACAAAAGTGAGATGAGTGAAGGGAGGGGAGTGTATCTTATAATGATGGACATTATGGTGAATTAAGATAATTGATGAGAGGATTGAATTTGGGAAATGGAAGAGAATGGGCTGGACGTGTGAATGGTGGGGGTTACATATATTTATTTTACTCTGTTATGCAAAAATCTGACCTGAACGGTACACAGTTTCCCCCCCCCCCGAACGGGTCCGAAATGAGATCCGTTTGCGTTTTTGGAATCAGACAGTCAAAACGAATTTAATGACATGTTCAAATAATTTTTCTAAGAACTTTTATTTTTTCCCAACTACGGTCCGGAAGAGTAATTAATTATTTAAAATAATCAATTCTATTAGACTGGGTTGCAGGGCGTTACAATTATCCACCCCTTAAGAAAAATTTCGTCCTCGAAATTTACCTGATCAATGATCGCTGAAAAGATGAGGATAACGGGAACGCATGGATTCCTCGGTCTCCTAGGTTGCCTCTTCAACGGAGTGACTCCTCCAAAGGACCTTGACCAATGGAATCTCCTTGTTATGCAACTGTCAGACCTCTCGGGCTAGGATTTCAACTGGCTCTTCCTCGTACGTGAGATTCTCGTCTAGAGTGACCGAATCTACTGAAAGTATATGTGTCGGATCTGATCGATATTGCCGTAGCATTGTAACGCCCCAAAACATACCCTAGAATTAATAATGAATAATTATTCAATTAATCAAATTTGTTTTGATTAAAAATAAATTATTGATGGGCTTTGGGCCGATATGAAATGTGTTTTGATATCCAATATCATAATGTGGATAAATCTCATAGAGATAAATCCAACATGTTGATTTATTATGTAATCTTAATTGGGAACCTGAAGACCCAAAATCAAGAATAAATGAATAATGTGTTTATTTTGAAATGGTTTATAGAAATAAACCATGAGAATAACTAATAGGAATGTAATATGACCACCTTTTATGATAAAGGTCAATTAAATCAATTTTGAATTTGTCAAAGTCAACGACCAAAAAAATATGATATCAGAAAAAGTATTTCAAATAAATATAAAACATATGTCGTTGAATAGAGCTTGACTGTCTGACCGCAACAGTTCAATCGGAATTTAATTTGGAGAAAGTTGGACCAAAAGGTGTACCCCGACTGGGACCAAAATTAGTCCCAATCAGGGACTTGCAGTTTAAATCATTCGGAATCGTAGCCAGGCGCACTAGCCGATCAATTGCATCAGGAATAGCAACTTCCCTGGCCATTTCCTCCCATTCTCTCCTATATAAGGCATGCTTGAATCCTTCATTTCTCCACCAAACTCCATAATTCTTTCTCCTATTATGTTCCTGAGACTATTAGGAATGTTGTGGTGTTGTCAATTTGGTGTAAGGTCGCCGGAGGTAAGAGTAATCGTCGCCGGAAGTTTCACCGGAAAATCATCAAAACCTCCGTTAAGCTTCGAGGTAAGACTCGAGGTAGAAGATGATGAATAGTCGACTATCAACTTAAAAATCGACTATAGCTCGTTCTGCAGATTTTTGGAACAGAGCTGAGCAACAGTCGATTGTCAGAATGTGACAATCGACTGTCAGCCCTCTCTGAAGTTTGATAATCGATTATCAGAGTGAAATAATCGATTATCAGCCCATTCTAAACATCAGACAGTAGATTATCAGAAGTGACAGTAGAGTGTCTCCCTACACTATTGAAGAAAATGAAGCTAATAGTTAATAATTGAATTTCCTATCATATATTAATCAATTATTGTTTAGAAAACATGATTCTTGAACTATGGAATCCTATTTTTGATACCAATCAATTATGATTAATATAAAGATGATTTCCTGGAATAAAAATGATGTTTTGAGGACCATATGTGATGCATGACGGTAAGCTAGGGTGTTAGCACTCGATGTAGGCCGCTATTTATTATTAGATATTATGATGATTGTTAGATTAATTTGATGAATTAATGATGACGAATATTCTGAATGATGATCATGAATTGTTAAATTAAGAATAATAGATTAATGAATAGTATTGCTAAGGCTACTTAGAAGACCTCTAACATAGACCTCTGATTAGAATGGGCCTTGCGGGTATAAAATGTATATTCGGTGGCCTTGGGTAAAAACGTACGCACGGGATCCATAACCAAACTAGGGGAACTCGTTTGGGGATACCACCCAACCTGACAGTTAGTATTCTACTATTCGGTTTTCTGTGTTTGTACCTTAAGCGAAGGATAGTTTAAGAGTTGGTAAATAAATCAGAATATATGTACCTTAAAGTAATGACCTAGCTTAAGAGTTGGATAATAAGTACCTTGAACAATAATTAGTTTAAGAGTTGGATAAAAGTACATTAAACTAGAATTAGTTTAAGAGTTTGATAAAAGTACATTAAACTAGAATTAGTTTAAGAGTTGGGAAACATTAATGAAATTGGCCTTATACTGAGCATAGTTTAAGGATGTTGTTGAATGTTGAATATGAATGTTGAATATTGAATATTGAATATTGAATGATGAATGTTGAATACTGATTATTGAATATCTAAACTGAACATTATGTGCATGATATCAAATGGTTGATTATGAATTGTGATTCAATTTATATGGATGTTCGATGCTTTAGATATCCTTACTCAGCTTTACCGCTGAGCGTGTAGTGTGTTTTATTTGCTACACGCAGGTAAACAGAAAGAACAATGTGATCCTGGTGGCAGATGGGGCGAGATTGTTGGGATGGATGTGACAAGTTTGAAATGATTTATGATATGTCAATATTAAATTCGCTTCCGCAATATTGTTGAATACTCCGTACTATTTATGTTATGAAAATTATTATTGTGATAAATAAAAGTGTTTGAAAAGTTTTAGATTTTACGATTACCAAGTTAATACTTTAGTTTGAAAGGGGCTGCAGACCTGGACGGATTTGGGTGTTACAAGCATAGACACATGAAACACATTGTGTATCTTGCTCAGCTCAGGTGGTAGCTCAAGTCTGTAAGCTACAGGTCCCACACGCTCAATGACAGAGTATGGGCCTATAAACCTCGGACTGAGTTTCCCTTCTTACCGAAGCGAAGAACTTTCTTCCAATTGCATACTCGATGTCACGTCTCTTAAGGTCGGCGTAGGACTTTTGTTGGTTCGAAGCCACCTTAATTCGGTCTTTAATCACCTAGACCTTCTCCTCAATCTCACAAACTAGATCTGGTCCTTCTAACCTCCTCTCGCTGAGCTCTGTCCAGCAGGTAGGAGTACGACAAGGTCTACCAAACAGAGCCTCGTACGGTGCCATACCGATGCTAGCTTGGTGACTGTTGTTGTATGCGAACTCCATGAGCGGTAGATATCTCTCCCAACTGTCCCCGAAGTCGATCGCACACGCGCGCATCATATCTTCGAGAATCTGAATCACCCTCTCCGACTGACCGTCTGTCTGAGGGTGGAACGTAGTACTGAAGTGGAGATCGGAGCCCAATGCCCTCTGTAGGCTCTTCCAAAAGTGTGATGTGAATCGAGGATCACGAACCGAAATGATAGATGATGGAACGCCATGTAGCCTGATGATCTCACGGATGTACAACTCCGCTAAACGCTGAAGTGGAAAGTCACGACGAATGGGAAGAAAATGAGCTGATTTGGTCAATCGATCAACGATGACCCAAACTGTGTCGTGCTTACATGGTGACAATGGCAGTCCCACAACAAAATCCATCGTGATGCGATCCCACTTCCATTCGGGAATGGTGATCTGCTGAAGTAATCCTGAAGGAACCTGATGCTCGGCCTTGACCTGCTGCCAAGTCAAGCACCGCGAAGTGAACTCTGTGATCTCCTGCTTCATCGCGGGCCACCAGTAATGTCTCCTAAGATCCTAAAACATCTTGTTACTGCCCGGGTGCATGGTATACACGGTGCTGTGTGCTTCGCGAAGAAGGCGTTCTCTCACCTCTCCCGCTGGCACTACCATACGCTCCCGATAGTACAAGATATCATCCTGAACTGTGAAATCTGGCTTCTCGCCTCGAGAGACGAGCTCAATGGTCTGGACACAAAAATCATCGCTGCTCTGAGCCGATGCTATCTGCTGTCGTAATGTAGGCTGAACATTCAACACAGCTAGAGTCTTACGACTAAGGGCATCGGCTACCACATTCGCCTTCCCTGGGTGATAAGCGATGTGACAGTCATAGTCCTTAATCAACTCCAACCATCTCCTCTGTCGAAGATTCAGATCCCTCTGTGTCAACATGTAACGCCCCAAAATATACCCTAAAATTTATTGAATTAAATATTCAATTAAACAAAATTTGTTTTGATTAAAATAAATTGTTGTTGGGCTTTGGGCTGAAATAAAATATATATTGATATCCAATAAACATAATTGGGATAAATCTCATAGAGATAAATCCAACATGTTGATTTAATATGTGATCTTGATTGGGAACCTGAGTACAGACCCAAATTAAGAATAAATGAAGAAATTGTTTATAATGTGAACTTTGAAATGATTTATTGAAATAAATCATGGAAATAAATAATATGAATTAAATGTGAGAACCTTTTTGAATAAACGTCAATTAAACCAATTTTGACTCTGTCAAAGTCAACCACCCAAAAATATGATGTCGGAAAAAGTATAACGAATAAATATAAAAATTATAGCGTTAGATAGAGTTTAATTGTCTGATCGCAACGGTGCAATCGGATTTCAATTCGGAGAAAGTTGGACCAAAAAGTGTTCCCCGACTAGGACCAAATTAGTCCCAATCAGGGACTTGCGTTTGGAATCGGAGAAATATCGCAACCCGCTCCACTAGCTGCCCGAACAGGAAACCAGACATCACCCTTGGCAGCATCCTTCACCATTTTCCTATATAAGTACCATCTCCATTCCTTCAATTCCTCACCATTTCTTACAAACTTTCTGTCTATTCTGTTGCTGGGAGTGAGGAGAACGCAGTGGTGCTATCGTATTGGTGTGAGGTCGCCGGAGATAGCTACAATTCTCGCTGGAAGTTTTGCCGGAAAATCTTCAAAACCTCCATTAAGCTTCGAGGTAAGCCCGTAGATATATCTAGTGATTAGAATGTTCGTATAGATCGTTTTTACGTTCATAAACGGTCGTTTGGTTGAGTTTTATGTTTGACATGTTTGAAGAACCAAGAATCATAAACCAAGAAATTGTTGTTAAAACTACAAATTAATGACTCTAAAATGATCTGTGAACATTGGGGAACATTCCTATATAATTTAATTGAAGTTTGGTAATTAAAAATGATAATGTTAAAAATTGAACAGAGGAAGAAGATGATGAACAGTGGCCGAAAATCGATTATTT